ACAACCCACTTCTTCGGATGCATATGCATCCGAAGAAGTGGGTTGTAGCCCACGAAAGCTTATGCTCTAATAAATTTGTTAGTCTCTAAGGTGCCACAAGTACTCCTGTTCTTTTTGCGGATACAGACTAACACGGCTGCTACTCTGAAACCTGGCTCCACAGAGTTCAGATAGTTTGGTCTCTGAGAAGCTGCAGCAAAGTTCTGTTTGTTGATACCTCCTGGGCTGTGTCCCTGTTAGCTGCCTCCTGATCTGGTGCTAAACTAGGGATGTTACAACATGGGCATAAGGTGCTAATGGCCCCTCATCCCAGGCGTCTTGCATGCAAAAGTGATCAGGGAACCAACAGTAGGAGTAACTCAGGCTCTTGTGGTGCATAACAGCTGGATTAATGCAGAGACAGCCGCCCATGCGGCCAGGGGGAGGGCTTGGAGCTAACTTCCAAACGCAGGGACTGGAACCAGTCTGTGTCCTGTATGCTAAGTGCTTGGGGTGAGCAAGGGAGACTAGGCGAGAAGCTCCCACCAGCCTGCTCTGTGGCAGGAGAAGGGGAGCTGCTCACACTCACGGGGCTAGGGGCCGTCTGCTGGGGCTAGGGGCCATCTACAATAAAGGAGCAGAAAAAACTCTGTCACCTAGAAGGTGACTGTATCTTGTCTTATTTCCTTCTTCCATTTCTTTAATCTCCCCTTTCCCTCTCCAGCATGTCCAACACATTCTGGCCAGCTCCAGATCACTGCTTCATTAGGCTTTCCCCCTCTTTAACCTCCTTTTTTCCCCTCTGAAAAGCACCATTCCCTTCCCTCTGATTTCGCCTCTCTCCAGTTCACTCCATGGTCTTCCATCCGCTGTCTCTGCCACCTTCCGTGACAGTGCTCTCTGTCTCTTGGCCTCATGTTTCCCATGTGTTCCATTGTCTCTGCACTCCTGCCCCCATCTGGAATAAATCTTGGTATAGCTACAGCCCTCGACTTTTAGGAAGGAATGTGAATATTTTTATCCCCATGTCACAGATGGAGAAACTGAGGCACAGAGTTTTTGAAGGACTTGGCCAAGGCCGCTGAGTGGGTCAGTGGCCGATCAGAGGAGTTTCTTGCTCTCAGTCCTAACCTTAGCTCACTAGATCACGTTGTTTTTCCTGCTGCTGAGCCGTTGTCCCCACATGTGGGCACAGAGAGACCTGGCAGCAGTCCGAGCACCACTGTTTGCAATCTAGTAACAGCTCCTTACAACTTTCTGCTCTGCAGTTGTTTCCCCTCTCTGTGCCTCAGTTTACCCACCTGCAAATGAGGATAATAATACTGACCTGCCTCGCAGGGAAATTAATAGATTTTGAGGCCACAATGTGATCATCTAATCTGACCTCTTGCATAATGCAGTCTAGAGAATTTCACCCAGTGATTGCTGCATTAAACCCAATAACCCAGGGTTGACTAAAGCAGACCTTTGAGAAAGAGACATCTAGTTCTGATATAAAGACACCAAGTGCTGGAGGGCCCAGCGCTTGGGAAGTGGTTCCAATGGTTAATTGCCCTCATCGTTAGGATTAATTCATTAATATTTGTGAAGTGCTTTGGCAGCTCTGGATGAAGAAAATGCAACATATATGTTGAATCTGCTAGACTTCAATATGGTGTGAGTAACATAGTGCATTTAACAGTCTGTCGTGTTATATTTGCCACTTATCAGAAACATTACTGTATAGATAGGTGCCATGTGGATAAGTTAACGTTACTCTGAAAATTGTCACTCTTCCCCCCCCCCCCCGCATACCCGACTCTTAGATACTTAAACTCATAACCATAAAATGTCAACAGAAATTTTGTCATGCACTGCACTGACCAATCCGTTGGAAAGTACCATTCTGTGTTATTTGTACTTGGAGTGAGGGCCTGGGCTTTGGGTGGGGGACCTCTCTGAGATAATCTTCCTTATATAAGGTCTGAAGAACCTTGACTGAACTGATCCGTGATCTGCAGAATTTTTTAAGACATGGATGTTAAATCAGATTGAAACCATGAAGTCATAGGGAAGCAGCTTGGCCCGGTGGACCGGGCACTGGGCTGGGCATCAGGAGACCAGGACTTGATTCCTGGCACTGCTGTGTGAGCCTGGACAAGTCAAGTCACTTCATGTGTTTCACCTTGTTTAGACCGTAAGATCTTTGGAGCAGGTTCTTTGGAGCCTGCCACAATGCAGCCCTGCTGCTGGTTGGGGTTTCTACATTCAACTGTAATGCAAATAGTAATAAACATCACAAATCTCCTTACCCCATCCTCTTTGACGTCACACTGCTCCGTGGCAGCTTTCTCCGACACTAGTCACACGGTCTCTTTAATGAGGAAGTTCAGCTCCTGAGTGCTTTGAGAATTTCCGTCCTAAGATATTAAATGAAAAGACAAATATCTATAATATAAAAGAACAAAGCAAAGTCTTTTGGGGGAGCAGCAATGTTCCAGACCCCACTGTTGTGCAATTCACCAGCAGGATGGGCTTGATCCCAAGGCCCCTGAAGTCACTGGGAGTCTTTCCGTTGATTTCCATGGGCTTTGGCTCAGGCCTAATGTCTAGTAGCCCAGCACCGGCCGTCAGCCACCCGACAGAGACTACAACCTGGTGTCAGCACTTTTTTCTAGTTTGAAACAACAGGGCCTGATCTTGCACGTGTGGAAATCAGTAGTAGCTGAGGGCTTTTGTCTGCCCCTTGCTGGAGGTGTGCAATGCCTGACAGGATGATTGGACCCCTGTTTGAGTTGGCCTGAGTATGCAGGAGCTCAGATTCCATGATTTCAATCAGCAGCTAATGCACATCTGGGCTCCGAAGTAATTCATTAGAATTTAAGGCCAGAAGGGACCATTCGATCATCTAGTCTGACCTCCTGATTATCCCCTGGGTACTTACCCATCCAGGCTGAGGGTCTGCCTCTAGGAGCCGGAAGAGAGAGTCTCCAGCTGCCTTCTGGTTGTAGAGGTCTACAGCGTGGGAAACAGCCACTTCGTAGCTCCGTGTGCGGCAGAGGTGACGTGGTGGTTGCTACGGCCACCCGAGCATCATTAGGACTCCCCAGCCTCTCTCCAGCCTTGGTCCGAGGCCTTTCAGCAAGGGGTGGACATGCAGCCCTGTGGCTCCAGGGAAACCCTTTTATGCGCTGCCTCCTCTGGTACCTCAGGTAAGATGGATGGTGATTGATTGGCTACTTGGGTTTTGCCAAAGGCTGCAGCGTTCCCCTTGCACTTACAGGAAATTGCAGCTGGCCAGGGTGCTAGTGCATGCACAGAGGGGGGAGCTCAGCTAGAGTGGTGGGTGCAGGGGGGTTTCTTTATTGCTCAAACCCTGGCTGGATTAGCGCACACACATGCTGGGAGGAGGAGGAGGGGAAGGGAGATGCTACTGGCAGAAGAAAAGATGAAGCCATCGTCTCTTGTTTCCCCAATTACAGTTCAGGGCTTCACATTCAGCTGGGTTCTCAGTGACACACAGGCCCAGGTAACAGACTCAGGATATTTTTACAGCTGACGCCAGCCTGGTATAATCAAGCGGAATTGACGCTTTCCTATTTACATGTGCAGGTAGGTGCAGAAGTCTCCCGCTGCCTGTGAAAGGCAGCACGGCTTTTAACTGTCCGGTCTCAAACAGCACTTGACGAGCCAGATGCTGAGCTGGGGTAAATGAGTGTAGTTCCATTAACATCAGCTGGGTGTCCGGCCCAGGACATTTGGTGCTTTTCCTGTTCAAAGCCCTTTACAAATACGAATTGGACTGAAACGTAAGATGCTCTCACAAAGTGCCAGAGGAGTTAGTTTAGAGATGTGACAGGTGGACTTCAAGGGCAGTGGTATGTGAAGGTAGCGCCTTGTGTGAACCCCATTGAACTGAAGGGGAGTCTTTCCGCTGACCGTGAGTTTTGGATCAGCCCCCTGGATCTAAAAGTAGCTAACGTGTGAAATAAACGTGTTCATTTTACTCAATCAAATGCTTTCTCTGCAACCACCGACCGGGAATCCTGTCTGCTGCATGGGATGCCAAAATGAAATGAAATGGATTTGTAACGCCAACAAATCACCCAGGGTCTGGGAGCAGAACATTGCTATATGCCCAAACTCCTTGCAATGTCAACTCCCCTGTGAGCTCATGAGATGTAGCAGCTCTGATGTTCTTTACTTCTATTGCTTGATTTGTTTCCGGCAATGATATTTCTTTCTCTCTCTCTGCTGGAATTTGAATTTCCCTGCATGTTTATGCTCTGAAAGGTGCCTGGTTTCTTCTTGTGGAGGTTTTATAATGATACAGTAATAGAGTTAAATTATTCTTATTTCTGCTGTTGTTGCAGCCAGTGGCTCCAGCCAAGATTGGGACTTAGGTGCTCTAAATCTACATAGTAAGCCACAATACCTACCTTGAAGAGCTTCCAACCTAAAGAGACAAGATATGATTGTCTCCAAACTACATGTAACACATGCTCATACTGTATCTCTCATTGTTGCCCTCCAGTCCAGGTGTAGCAGTTTATGCTCATGATTTTAGAGTCAGAGGGTCCAATGCCCACAGACAACCCGCCGTCCAGGGACGTTACATCACGTACAGATAGGGAACCGAGACACAGAGAAGTGTCTAAGGTCACACAAGGATTCTGTGGTAGAGCAGGGAATTGATCCCACAACTCCACTTCATTAACCGCAAAGCCAGGCTGCCTCAGCTGATTAGGAGCGTTCTTCAAAGCTGCCAAAGTACCTGACAAAGTACAGTGTGACCTTCAGAGATGCTGAGCACCTGCAGCTCCCACTGACTGCACTGGGAGATTTGGGTGCTCAGCGGTTCTGAAAACCAGGCCTTAGACATAAAAATGGAAGAGACATTCACAGTGTTATTCCCTGTTTGACACAAGTTTCGCTCTGGTCTCACGGCTGCTCGTCCATAATACGGGGATTAGAATTATAGGACTGGAAGGGACTTCGAGAGGTCATCTAGTCCAGTCCCCTGCACTCATGGCAGGACTAAGTATTATCTAGACCATCCCTGACAGGTGTTTGTCCAACCTGCTCTTAAAAATCCCCAATGATGAAGATTCCATAACCTCCCTAAGCAATTTATTCCAGTGCTTAACCACCCTGACAGAAAGTTTTTCCTAATGTCCAACCTAAACCTCCCTTGCTGCAACTTAAGCCCATTGCTTCTTGTCCTATCCTCAGAGGTTAAGAAGAACCATTCTTCTCCCTCCTCCTTGTAACAACCTTTTAGTTTAGTGAAATGCAGCCACCTCTGGTCTGGTGCGTGGCAGATGTTTAACAGCACATGTAGTGCTATGTAAAGTGCTGTGGTCATACCGTAGTCATCTGTGGGGGTGGAATCCAGGGCCCAGAGCACTAAATCCTCCCATCCCCTGAGCACAGAGGCTGCCCTTTCCTAGTGTCCTTGGGGCTATGAGCCACCCCGAAAGGGGACGGGTTCTGTGGAGGTCCTGCCAGTGCTGGTCAGGTGCAGCGTAGGAAGCACAGTGCCCTTTTCTAAGGGTAGGTGCAGCATGAGTGCTGTCCTGGGCACCTGATGGCTCCGGCAGGGATTCTGTCACCTTGAGGACCCCCTTAGTGACCGGACATCCTACCTGCATCCCTGTGCAAAGGGCTGGTCTAGGCACCTGTGATGATAGTGCTAAAGTGGGACGTAAGTAGTGCACAGTGCTGGTCCTCTGGCCTGGGGTGAATTTCCCCCTATGAGTATTTCCCTACCTATGTCACTGCCTGTTACTCCACCTAATCATTTTCCTGATAGCAGCACACGATCTTCCACCAGAGGTGAGGGCTATAGTAGATCCCACATCTAGGCTCTCAAACCTCAAGAGTGCAATGTTGGAGGCTGACCAGCAAGCTAAGGGTTTAGAGCTCTTGAGAGAGTCATCACCATTTTACCCGGGGCTAGATATGGCCATGGGCATGTCTGAAGCAAACCATCTCTGATGAAGCATTCAGCTTCTTCAGTCTTTCCCCCGGGTAACTAATTTGCACACCCTAGAAGAGGCCTTGTTGGGTTTTTATTCGCTCACCCCTCGGATTTGCTGCCTCAGAGCACGTTCAACGCTGCCGCTCATGCTGAGCCCAGCTCCCCTTCTGCTTCTGCAGTCCCTGCTCCAGGTTTGAAAGACACCTTCAGAAGCCTTGTCAGTGTGCAAAGAACTGAAATTGTGATTTCTCCAGGCTGTCTCCAATACTAGGGCCCCATCCTGACTCCTAGAGTCATACGGTTTTAAGGCCAGAACGAAAGGGTGGCAGACTCATTTTTGGTGTCAGACCGAACAGCATCAGTGTTTTCAATATGATGGAATTTGCACCTTTAATGACCCCGCTATGGGATTTGGTTCCTTTTGCTGATCTCTGTGTATGGGGAGATGGGAAGGGAGCTGTGGGTTTGCTCAAAGCTGCGCTAGGTGCCTGATCTATAGTGGGTGTGTCTGGTAGGGAGAAACCTCGGGGCAGCTCCAGCTTGTTCTTTAGGCTGAAATTCACCCCATGGCAGAGGGGCTGCACAGGGCCCGGAGTATCCGCAAGCCTTTAACATGGGATGCCGTCAGTCCCTCCTTGCTGGAGTACATTAAACCCAGAGCTAGTAATTTCTTTACATGCTCATGATGATGATGATGATGATTTGTATGGCTGTAGCACCTAGGAGTCCTAGTCATGGACCAGGACCCCGTTGTGCTAGGCGCTGTACAAACACAGAACAGCCAAATGGTCCCTGCCCCAAGGAGCTTGCAGTCTAAGTACAAGACAAGGGACAACAGCTGGAGACAGACAGACAAGGGAACAACGAGACAATACTGGTCAGCAGGAGAGGTGGAGGTTTCGGCAGCCTAGCTGTTTTTCGTAGGCATCACGGCAAAGGAGCGTTTTGAGGAGAGAGCTACGGGTGGATAATGAGTTGGTTGGGCAGATGTTTATGTGGCCATCTCACGAGTGCCTGGGGCAGCCTGGGAGAAAGCAGGGAGGTGCCTGTTTGAAAAGGAGTGGGCAGTGGAGGCTAGCAACATGGGCTCCCCAAAGGCGAGCAGCGACAGCGTGGTAGCGAATGAGAAGAGGAGAGGGAGGGTGGGGATCGACCGTGAAGGGACTTGAAAATGAAAACGAGCAGCTCATGATGGACGTGATAGAGAAGGGAGAGGCAGTGAAGGGATTCGAAGAGGGGGGCGGCGTGGTCAAAGAGACAGGCCAGGAAAATGAGCTTTGTCACAGCATCTAAATGGGTATTAGTGGGGCAAGATCGCATTTATCAAGGCCAGACAGAAGGACGCGGCAGTGATCAAGATGATGAGCACTTGGCCGAATTTTAGCCCTGTGGATGGACCTGAAAGGCCGTGTCTTGGCGGTATTATACAGAAAGAATTGGCAAGGTTTAGAATTGGCCTGGATGTGAGGACCTAGCAAGAGGGCAGAGTCAAAGATGACAGCCATGGTATGGGCCGGAGTGCCAGGTAGCGGGGGAGGCTTGTGGGGAACAGAAGAATGGCCATACTTGGTCAGACCAAAGGTCCATCTAGCCCAGTGTCCTGGGAAGATGAGGAGCTCTGTTTTAACCATGTTTAGATTGAGCTGACGGCCGGACATCCACAAGGAGATGTCACAGAGACAGGCTGAGATTTTAATTTGGACAGAAGGAGATTTTAGTCTCGAGTAGAGAGGTGGGTCTGTTAGTCATCAGCATAGACGTGGTAGTTTAATTTATTTTCGGGACGAGGAGTTATGGCCTGCCTATGTCATTGAATGAACAGGGTGTGGGGCGTTACCCACTTTCTGGCAGGTACCTGTGGTGAATCAGGGAGGCTGAGTGAGTC